TTCTGGTTTGTCCTTTTCCATTTGTAAACATTTTGTCTTCCTCCCCCTTCTCTTGCCCACAGCTTCTCATACAGAGCACCCAACAAAGAGGAGTGGTTGTTAGTTACACCAATACATTTATTTTTTCTTTAAAAATACAGTTAGAAAAACACACTCAGAAAATTACACTAAAAGAACATTATTTAGGTGGTACGGTCAAGCACTTGAAAGTTAGGAGATTCCAGATTTATGGTTATCTATAACATTAATTCTGCCCCCTTGTGCATTTGCATTATGGATCAATCTTGATATATGATCATATGCAGTTTTTCCTCAGGATTCCTGCTCGTTCAGGATGTAAATGCAGGAGTGCAGAATTATTGCACAGGCAACCATAGATCTGGCATTTCTTAATGTCTGAGTGCTTGACTTTGCATTTTAAACAACATTCTTTGTATGTAATTCCTATAAGGTCTGTAAATTGCTTTGGTAGCTTTCCTAGATCAGGGGAGTCAAACTCATTGGAGGAGAGGGCCAAATTCTATAACTAATTATAGTTCTTGAGCCTGGCTATAGAATCAGGACTATATACTCACTATGCAGTGGAACACCCACTGATGTCAGTAGGTGGTTTTCACAGAGAGCAAGAAAAGACAATGGCCTGTATGTACTAATTAAATGTTCAGTTATTTATTCAGTGCCTTTATTGAGAGAAAATAAGCTCCCCTTTAATCCCACTGCTGTTTCTGCCCTCTCTCTTTTTCTCTCCGTCTTTTCTGGATTTCCTCCTCTGCAGCAACTCCCAATTTCCAATCCAGTGAACTTCCCTACCATTCTATCCTCTAAAATGATCAGTGATTTCAATATTTAAGGTTGTCACTGAGGTCATTTAAAGTTGATCCACTAATCAGATTAATGGAGGACAAGGGACTTCACCCTTTTGCATGACTGTTTCAGGCTGTCTGCAGACATCATACCCTATGTTACGCTTGGTTCACCTTTAAAAGGTTACCTCTGCAGCCATGAGCGTTAGAAATTTACTTTTGTTTTTAAATGAAAGATTAGATTCTGGAGAATATGAATGTGTTTATGCGAGCCACATAAATACATCATGCATGTGGATTTGGCACATGGGCCATATATTTGACACTCCTAGATAAAATGTAATATACAGGTTTATGGTATTAGGTATCATGTTGATATGCTAAATCATCATTTTTTCTCTAAATTTCTAGGGGTTATATCAACAACAAAAAGATCTCTTCTAACGCCAAAGTCCAGACATCCTCAAGATACAATTCAACATCGTATGGTACTACTACAGTCACGCCAGGAATCAGTAGGAAACTGGGGATTATGGCACCACCAAAGCCTAAAAACAGACAATTCCTTAAACCTTCCTATTCACTATTATAACTACTAGACTGTAAATACTGTATAAAGCCACACACTGTCAGCATTTCCATTAACTTCCACTTTTTCAAATGTATTAAAGCTTTGATATCCTACATCTGTACAGTACAAAGTGTATTTGTTTAAATAAATGCTTTTAGATAAATGCATTTCTTTATTTGGAACTTTTAATTCTTCCCTGATGCTAAATATTCTTCTTATAAAAAGAACATGCTAATTTTGATTGATTATAGAAGACTTAGTAGTTTAGTGATTAATCATTGTAAGAATGCTCTAATTCTTTGAGAACTGCCTCTCTCTGAACCCACATATGGAATGTATACGACTGTAGCTCAAACCCACTTACCAGCAGTGATGGTTGGAGCCATGAACCTCCTTGACCATACTAATAAAGGATGATATCCTGAAGTAGCTCAGGGCCAGCTAGGTGGTCTTGAATTGTTTTCTATACAAAATCTAGGTTTTAGGATGAGTTTCTTAGTTTGAGGTGTTAGCTTAATTTAGTTCTCGGTTTCATAGTCTTTGGATATTTCCCCCCACATCTCCTGGGTCTAGCAGCCCCTTGGGGCATTTGAAGCTTGGCCTAGAGTGTATGTGAAAGTTGCAAGGCTTTATGGTCTGTCAGACACGTAAGTGCTGCCTGAACCAAGGGCATTCTTTGGATCTTACCTGGCTCGTGTTGTTCTTTCTTCCAGAGCTTCAAAACACTCTTCTGTCCTCATGAGCTCTGAACAGCATCAACATAGGCCACACATCCACACTTGATAAATTACACTTTCACCCCTATCCATTGATTTAAAATCCTTCATAGATTTTTAAGCCCGGAAGGGACCATTATGACTATCTTGTCTGACCTGCATAACACAGGCCAGAGAATTTCACCAACTCCTGCAACAAACCCATAACTTCTAGTTGAGCTAGAAACCTATCTTTTAAAAAGACAGGCAATCATAATGTGAAGACTTCAAGTGATAGAGAATATATCACATCCCTTTGTAAGTTGTTCCAAAGGCTAATTACCCTAACTATTACAAATTTGCCTCTTATTTCTACCCTAAATTTGTCTAGCTTCAGCTTCAAGCTATTGGCCCTTGTTCTTTTGTCTCCTAGCTTTAAAAACCCCTATCAAATTCTTCTCCCTGAGCAGCTACTTGTAGACCACAGTCACTTCTTAATCTTGTCTTTAAAGAAAATCTATTTAGTTTAACAGTTTCACTAAAGGCAGGTTTTTCAGACTTCTAATCATTGTAGCTCTTTTCTGTAACTCTTCAGTTTGTCAGCATAGGCTTCTTCCCATATTAGCATCTCTTCAACCATATCTAGTTTGTTATATGGACTTCTTTACCTCTCTTAGGCAGTGGGAAAGCATAGAAATTTCCATATTCAAGATTCTCACTGAGCTGACCAGCCAACAGAGTTGGTACTGTAGATTCTCTTACTATGTCCCCAATGGTCAGACATGCATATTGAACAGGAGGAAACAAAGCTGCAGTTTTACAGACCACCAGGCGTTTCCTAGGTAAAGAATAGTGGCAAGTACCCATGACCTTCTCGAAGATCTCCAAAGAGGAAGGAAAGAATCTACTTAAAGCCCCCCACTTGTGAGATTCTGAAGGCAAATCAACAAAATGTTGTGGACTCAAGTTACCAAAATCTCCTGATAAATCTAGGAAAGACATTTTACCTTCCTCCACTGCCAGGAGAAGATCTAGTTCATATACCCTGGGACTAATGCACGAATGTCCTGTGTTCTGTATAATGCCAGCTAATGGGCTTCTTCACTTCTGTCAGGAAAGGTTTTGTGGAAATTTGTTGACCTACTCTCCACTCTTATTTGGCAACATAGTAACACATTGGTAACCTTCTGACGATAAGAAAATCTCACCTGATCTCTACTCAACTTCTACATTTTCTAGTGCTGTATAGAGGCAGGTTTTAAATGAGCCAAGCAATGTGCTTTTCACTCCTATCCTGCCATGCTATGTTAGTCTGATTAGCTATTACAAACTTCCCTTAATTACATTTCATCTCATTATTCTTTTACCTGTTACTTCTTCTCCCTCATTAAACAATTACTTTCTAATCATTATTGATCACCATAGTATTATGTGCTTGCAGAAGCATGTTCCTTTATAATGTGACTCCAGCCTGATGTATTGATGATATGTATCAGCCATTGCGTGGGATCTGTGGCCCCCCTGGGATTTTTCCTTCAGCTGGTCTTGCCACTAGCCTTCCTGCTAAGGCGTAACTGAGCCTGTTGCTAAGTGTGCAGCCTTTCTGGTGCTCTCTCCGTGAAGTCACACGGAACAATTTGGATAGTGAGGGTGCTGAGAGCCATTGAACAAAACTAAACCCTGTATATGATGGACTATGAATTGACTATAAGGTGGATAGAAAGCTGGTGAGATTGTTGGGCTCAACAGGTAGTGGTTAATGGCTCGATGTCTAGTTGGCAGCTGGTATCAAGCGGAGTGCCCCAGGGGTCGGTCCTAGACAAATTGGAGGATTAGGTCAAAAGAAATCTGATGAGGTTCAACAAGGACAAGTGCAGAGTCCTGCAATTAGAATCCCATGCACTGCTACAGACTGGGGACCGACTGGCTAAGCAGCAGTTCTGCAGAAAAGGACCTGGGGATTACAGCGGACAAGAAGCTGGATATGAGTCAGCAGTGTGCCCTTGTGGCCAAGAAGGCCAACGGCATATTGGGCTGTGTTAGTAGGAGCATTGCCAGCAGATTGAGGGACGTGATTATTCTCTTTATTCAGCACTGGTGAGGCCTCATCTGGAGTATTACGTTCAGTTTTGGGCCCCCCACTACAGAAAGGATGTGGACAAATTGAAGAGAGTCCAGCGGAGGGCAACAAAAATGATTAGGGGTCTGGAGCCCATGACTTATGAGGAGAGGCTGAGGGAACTGGGATTGTTTAGTCTGCAGAAGAGAAAAGTGAGGGGGGATTTGATAGCTGCTTTCAACTACCTGAAGGGGGGTTCCAAAGAGGATGGAGCTAGGCTGTTCTCAGTGGTGGCAGATGACAGAACAAGGAGCAATGGTCTCAAGTTGCAGTGGGGGAGGTTTAGGTTGGATATTAGGAAACACTATTTCACTAGGAGGGTGGTGAAGCACTGGAATGGGTTCCCTAGGGAGGTGGTGGAATCTCCTTCCTTGCAGGTTTTTAAGGCCCAGCTTGACAATGCCCTGGCTGGGATGATTTAGTTGGGAATTGGTCCTGCTTTGAGCAGGGGGTTGGACTAGATACCTCCTGAGGTCCTTTCCAACCCTGATAGTCTGTGATTCTATGCGATGGAAACCACGTGGAGCCGGGTGCTGCCGCAGCCCCGGGCCCGACGTGACCCTTTCCGCTCTCAGGCTGCGGGCCCCGGGGAGCTGCTGCGCTCAGTGGAATTAGGCTAAATTCAGGCGCTAACTAACCCCCCCCCCCCCCCCCCCCCCCGGGGAGGACACCCCCGCCCCGGGCGGGGCCGGCCCCGCGGCGGGGGGGGGGGGGGCGCCCCCCCCCCGTTAGGTAACCGCGCCCCGCCCCCGCGCGTAGGCGGGAAGGGGAGGCCCCGCCCCGGCCGGTCCCGCGCCGCGCCGCACCGGGGAGATGCCGCGGGCCGAGAACGAGGCCGGGACGCTCGGGGCTGAGGAGCCGCTGTCGCCGCTCGCCCGGCAGCGGACGCAGGTCAGGAGCTTGGGCCGGGGGAGACCGGCCCCTCGTCCGCCCGCCCCGCCGCCAACGCAGAGCGCCTCGGGCGCCGCGTGTGGGACCGGCCCGGCCCGGCTCGTCCCACCGCCGGCCCGGGGGCGCCCCGCGGCCGCCTCCCCGCGCCCTTCCCCGGCCGCCCCCTCCAGCCAGCGGGGGCCCCCTGGGGGCTGGGCCAGGCCCGTCCCCCGAGCTGGGCCCGGCCCCGGCAGGTGCCGCTCCCTCGCCTTTGGGCGGCTCCGGAGCCTTTGTACAGCGCCGGGCACCGCCGCGCCTGACCTGGCCGCCCCCGCCCCGAGACGGGGGACACGGAACCCCGGGCGATGTAGTTGCCCAGAGGAGAGAAAACCCGTTGGCTGAGCGGGCGGGTCTCGCTGTCCAGCCCCTGAGCCCTGGCACCTGCTGCTCGCCTGACCCCGCTCCCCAGCCCCTGCCCGGCGTGTCAACGCTGTAAACCCCCCCAGCCTCCGCATCCTGCAGCCGTTCGCGGGGCTGCCCTAGTGAAGGCAGGCGGGCGTTCCGGATCCGTGCAAGAAAAGTGAACGTGGGTCTTAGAAGGAGCCATCTGCCTCTTGGCAACTTCCCACGGTCTCGGGCTTGCCGGACCCTTGGAGGAAGGAGAGCATCCGAAGAAGTGAGGTTTTTACCCACGAAAGCTTATGCCCAAATAAATCTGTCAGTCTTTAAGGTGCCACCAGACTCCTTGTTGTTTGTGTGTAAACGGAGAGTAGTGGGAGAACACTTGGGGGAATAGTGTCAGAGGGGAGCCGTGTTAGTCTGGATCTGTAAAAAGCGACAAAGAGTCCTGTAAAAAGCAACAGAGGGTCCTGTGGCACCTTTAAGACTAACAGAAGTATTGGAGCATAAGCTTTCGTGGGTGAATGCCCACTTCATCAGACGCATGAGAATGTTTTCATCAATGGTTTGTAGCACTTCCTTGGCGTTCGAGTGGAAGGAACTGCTGGTGTTGCGTGCTTTATGAGCATGGACACACCAAGCGGTTACTAGGTAAGGGCACATTCTTTTGGGAGGAAAGCTTCACACTTTAGGCTTCAGGTATAAGGCATGAGAAAATCCCAGCAGCAGCATTTTTTTTTTTACACTGAAGTGTTTGTAAAATTACATGATATTTAATACACACTAGTTTTCAAATGATTTGTTCCTATTGCTAGTTATGTGGAGACAAGTTACAGGAGCTGAGTTCTAGTGTAGTGTACTTTATATTTTTCTCTACGTCATTTCTGTAGGAGCATACACCTAAAGAAAACCCCAGTATGAACTATGTGTCAGAAAAAGCTGAACGAAGAGCAGTTTTCAGAAAAGAAGTGAAAGTTCTTCTCACCCCGTTATCCATGGAAGAAGAGAAACGCAACAAACGTCTGCCCCAGAAACGCTTACTAGAAAAGTTTTCTAGTAATGAAGGGCCTTCAGAAAGAGAACCAAAAGTCAAAAAATCCCGTGGTGATCCCACAAGTCAGCAAATAAGAGATGTATCCTATAAGGCTTCTTCCAGTCCACGAGGAGTAATCCCCAGTATGTCTTCACTTCATAATACAACTAGCATGGTGTCACCCACAAACACTTCAGTTACAGTTGATCATGATTCAGAAAACAATTGGGATACAGACAGTGAAGGAAGTAATTCCAATGTCTCTTATCTGGTAAGAAACCAAACATTGTTTTTTTGTGTGACTATATTCTCTTTTGCTTTTAGCTTCCTCAATATATTCTTAGCCTAGCCCTCAATTTGTCTTATTTGGCATCTTTCACATTTTGAAACTTCAAGTATTGATGATTTTGTAAACGAGGAACTGTTTGCTCCCTAGAAAATAGCAAAGGGAATACAATTATTGTACTTCATTATTTTTAAAGATAGAAAAATAAGACTGTTTTTCATAATTATTCAAGATAAGTTATTCATTTTTACATAACCCACTGTCTTAGATCTTTTTCTTAATGATACATATTGGCTGTAGGTAAATATTAGTTTACTTAACATAATTAATCTTGACAGTCTGTAATGTATGAGAGACTATTTCTTGCAAGCAGTCATAGCTAAACAAAATCCCGATAGCAAAAATCCAACCTAAGGTCTTGATCCTGCCACTGACTCCACATGGACCTTCCTGAGTGGTATCAGTTTCAGGATTGGTTCCTAAAAGTTTTGTTATCAGAAAAAGAAAATTATTCTATTTTATTATCATATTGACCAGTATTGTTTTGCCATTTCCTTGTACTCTACTGTCTGTCTATCCATCTGTTGTCTCTTCTCTTACACTTAGATTGCAAGCTCTTTTTGGCAGTCTGCCTTTTTGTTCTGTAGTTGTACAGGATTTAGCACAATGGGTTCCTGGTCCGTCACTAGGGCTCCTAAGTGCTATGGTAATCCAAATAATAATTTTCAGAATGTACCACATTTCCCTTTTTCTCTAAGGTACCAAGAAATAACACACAGCTTATTCCATTTGCATCCAGTATTTGGCTTCTGAATATAACTGAAAGACATATATCTCAATAATTCTACTCTTATAAAGAATTTAGCTACCTTTAGTTCTAAAAAGGACTCAATTAATTTTTTCTATAAACAATACCAGAGACCACTATTATAAGACAGCCTAATATCAGTATTGTTGTACATTTTTCAGCATTGCATAATTGCTTCATGCTTTCATTTCTTGTTTATCAATGTAATAAAGATATTATTGAAATAATTTTAACATCCATAAAGAACTTTGACACAAATCTTTAACACTCCATCTTCATAAGTGTGTGCCTGAGCTGTGTGTGCAAAACACTCCTATCTTGATCCAAAACCAGCTTGGCTTCTGTCGATACGTGCAATTAAAGGTTTTCTAAAGTTACCATATCCACTAGCTCCCCCACATTTTTCTTCAGATCTTCTTCAAAACTCAGCAGGTGTGCCTTCAAGAAAATTAATTGTCACCATTCCTTAAATATCAGTCTTTGGGGCTGGTCTGTTTTATCCTTTCCTGTTCTGGTATATCTTTTTTGGGGGGGGGGCAGGGAGAATGTGTCCGTGGTAGGGTAAAACAAAGAATCCACAGCTTCTTTGTATTAAGGCAAAATATAAATTGATATTCATGTCTGTGACTGGACACTTTCTGGCCACACTGATGGAGCTCTGTTAAAGCACTACTATCTAGGAGTATGTTGTAATGTGCCACTTTCCCCCTTATCCTCCCAGTTCTTTTTTAACCAGTTTGTCTGCTTTCTAGTGTTTTTGTGTCTTTTTGCTTTTAATGACCTCATACTGTAACAGTTGTTTGGAAATGGAGGAATGTCAGGTACTCCTCACTATAAAGTAACATTTATTGTAAGAGAAGCTTGGAACCTAAAAAAAAAAAAAGGCCATGCGACTTTGCACAGTGCTTTATTTTCTCAACAGTCCAGGCCTTTTTGTGCACTCTGTGTAATATCCTAAACATTATCCTACAGAGCAATTGCTTTTATTTGTTTGTGCAGGATGGATCTTCACAGCTGTCAGCCTATGAAAGAAAAAGACTAAAGAACATTACAGAAAATGCTAATTTTTTTGCTTCTCTAAAGCTGCTTGAGGTTTGTATGATTTCTCCCTAGAGTAAGAATAAAATTGTCACTCTAAATGTAATAGAAATTGCCATACCAAAACTAACCCATAGGTCATTTAGTTATGAAACACGTCTCTAACACTGTCCTATACCAGATCAGCAAGGAGTCTGGTGGCACCTTAAAGACTAACAGATTTATTTGGGCATAAGCTTTCGTGGGTAAAAACCTCACTTCTTC